TCTCCAAGCAACACACTCAGGTCTCTCCCGTAGTTTATTTGCTGCTCGCCGTGCGTTGGTGCTCAGTAAGCTAAGGTAACAGTTGGCGCTGGGTGCTGAGGTGCTGTTCCTGTTGCTGACACTGCCGCTGCTGCTTGCTGAGAGCTTGCAAGATGCTTGTGTGGCGGCCGGAGCCGAAAATCGAGCAGAGTCTTTCGTGTAACACCAAACTGGACACGACACTCCCAAACCCGGGATGACAGGGACAGGGACGACGCGTCTCCAACTCTGCAGGAACTTCTCCTTGAGTCTCGCTCCCTCGTCTCAATTCGCCTCTTTCTTGTCGTCTATTTTGCGTTGCCTCAAACCTAAGGCAATTTATGCTGGAACTCCGGACGGTCTTGTCCACAGGCTTCTCTGGTCGTCTCACTCTGTGCCGTTTGACAAGCCGCCACCAAGGACAACGAAGAACGACCTTGGACAGCTATGCAATCGAGCTCGAGTACGCTGCGATATAGGATTGTGACCCTTCTGAATTTAGTCGAATGCCGGAGGTGGTAGAGCTTTCGCTGGCTGAAGACGAAGCACAGAAGTGACGGAGACAATAAGAGAACGAAGGTCTCGAGGGCAGAAGTTCGTGTTACCAAGCGCGGTGCTACGCTTCTCAGACCCCGGTCACCGTGTGTCCGTGACAGGCGAGATACCCGGCAATCAATTACACGCTGTCGATATCGCTGTAGCCTCCCGGTTGATGTTTGTTTCACTGGCTGATGATGGGTTTGTCGCTGATGTCGTTTGGCTTGATGCTGTCCAATGTCTAATGAATGAAAGAGAACAGGTAACGAATGAACACAGACGCTTTGCCTCGCGTGCGACCAGCTCGATAGTAGATATTTAGATCAACTGTTGAGGTCTCTGTCTTGACTCAGATACCCATCAAGGTTCCAGATGTTGCAAACACCTGGAATGAGACGCAAGAAAGGGGTGGATACACCAAGCTCCAGATGCCCAGGCCAACGAACCGGTTGGTTTGCTTGTCCAACCTTCGCACCCTGTCACGACCTGTCTGTCTGTTTCTCAACGCCGGCCAGGTGATGCCCCAAGCAACAACGAGACCGGTGTAGTGCGCTGGAAACGGCTTCACTCGTGCAAGCCAGCGTCGAATGATGGCGCGAGCGTATTCGCGGATCCGTGGGGATTTCGAAGGAAATGGGCCCCAGCTCAGCATCATTTCTTGCGGACGGGAGTTGCGGATCTTTAAACCATGTCGACTGCTCCGCCTGCCTCGGCCCATGATGCCTGGAGAGGCTCCCACCAATATCATGCACATTTGTTGCACAAGCCGCATTCCTAATTCATCATCTTCACTCACCGGACGGGTTGCCTGGATTCATAAGCAAGAGGCGACGGCGAGCCCTGAAGGCTCCAGTCCTGACAAGAGCGCTTCGTATCTGACAGTCAATGGCGCTCGCCGAATCGCTGGCCATCGTATTCACAGCCATGGGGCGCAAGGAACTCCGGCAAAGTCGCCATCCAGTTATGTCTGCTTTTCCACCGGCTACGCAGCGGACTTCGCTCTGGCCGACGGCATTCCCAGTCAAACGGATGGATGTGGCATCCGTCACCATGCCCATTGGCTTTCACACGAGAGTCACGAGATTACAAGTTGCTTCTCCTTCCATGCAATGCGATATCTCATCTGACTCACAAGGCTACGGCTCGGCCGACGCTGCTTGAGTGAGTGTGGTTGTTCCGAACTTGGTGACGAGATGGATGCGTCGTTCTGCGTTCAGCAAACCGTAATAGAGACCTTGCATGTTCTTGTGCACCATCACACAGGAGGACCCCAAACGACGATTGGTGTGGGAATCCCGAATCCTGGATTACCAAGATCCCCAGGTTCTCCCAGACGTGCGTGCAGCCTGCATATGCAGCATGCACACGGCTAAGGTACTACTATGTACAGATAGTTAAGTCCCCAGCACAAAGCCTTGCTCTCGTGAGCATCTCCGGCTATTGGGAATCCTGTCTCGGTGACATGGCAGCACTCCCCAGGGGCACATTATCCAGATGCATCAGCAAATTTGGTCACGTCTCGCAGGTGCCTCATTTCTGCCTGCCTACGGATGCTTTCCTGCAGGTGGCACCATCACCAAGTCATCCGCTGATTTCTATCCAGGCAATGCAAGCCAAACATCTACCGACCTTTGATGTAAAGGCTATCCGGAGGCCTGAAAGAGCCGTAGCGCCTCAGCTCGGTGTTGACAACAACCTATCACGATTCTAGTCGGTAATCAATATCGAAAGCCACAGCACAGGGGGCAGAGCGGCTCGGATCCCCGGTGCTCGCTGAGCGCACGACCCACTGCCCCCTTGTTGATATGCAAGGCACTGCCTGTCACTCCCCATCGACGGAATACCTACCTCAAGCCTCAAGGTCCTCAACTGATCAGGAATGCACCTCAGATCGCCAACCAGCCAGTGTTACCGTTGGCAACTTTGTTTGACTGGTTCGAGACCGCTAGCACCGCTTGTCAGGCTAAGGTGAACTATGTAAAATGAGTCTATGAATGGTAAATTACTGCGCACTTCCCACCATTAGCCAATCGTCTCCATGATGCTTACACACGGTACGTACCGCGCTGTTGGAGCTCACCATTCCGTAGTGCTTCGGAGCTTGAGCCTGGCGTCCGGATAGCTTCCGCCATCCCGCTGACAGCACGTCCCGGCCCCCAAATATCAACCTTCACCAGAACAACCGTCCGCGTTGCAAAAACGTTGTGGCTGGCACTGGCAACCAACTTGTCGGGCGGTTTCTCGACGCCATGCTTTTTGCAGTCGTTGGACGGTAGACCTGGCCTGGCCATCCATCTCTCGACCGTCCATCCCGGGTATTGGATCTGAGCTGTCTCACCGCTTGTGATCTCTTGGTGGTATGAAAAGCAATATCTCGCATTACCCCTGGCAGGATTGCATGGGCATCCTGCTGCACCTTTGCTTACTAGCGCCCCATCTCCAGCGACATGTTGGGGTTTGATGAGCCCAATCTGGATTCTCCTAAACTGGGCATTCAATTTTCTGCGTCCATGTAGCTAGCCACCGAGACCTAGTTGCCGAGGCAGAAATTCAACGTTGTTTGACATTTGCAGGCCAACACCACATTTCCAGATAGACACATTCGCAACCCAGACTTGACCGGAAGATGGATATTGCTCTCTTAAGTTCATTTCGCCGACAATCGCAAACTTCCTTCCTACTCATCAATCATAATGAGCACCGACCGTCAAACGTTCAGCGACTGCCACAGCTTCCTAGGCGCCTATTCTAGGCTCCGTTATTCAACTCCTGGCCGACAATGCTGGTCCCCAGTGGGGCACACAAACATTGACAAAAAAGCAGGCCGAGAGCCGATGGGCAAAAAAAGTATTTGATGTCAATCGCTGACGGGAATTGAGCCCGACGTGGCTGGAATGTGTTAGCTGCGAAGCTCATGCCTCGATGAGAGCTTGCAAGCACTTACGGGTCGAACCCACAACCTTGAGATTAAGAGTCTCACGCTCTACCGATTGAGCTAGCCGGGCGAACGGCTTCATGGTTGATGGACGAGGCGAAGACCGGGACTCGTCTTGTTGCGATGTGGTGGATTTGTCGTCCCCAACCCATCTTCGTGACGACGATGGTCGATGGGGGACCACTGATCAGTGAAGGCGCCCTTCCGTCGGAAACGATGTGCGGGAACCTGTGCGCAGGATCCATCCGCAGTTAACTCACTTCCTTTTCCTAGGGCTGAGGGTGTGGGCTAGGTGAGCTAGGTAAGCCAGATGTTTGAGACACCACATGCCAGCGTCGCACAGAGTGATGTGTGGCTGGATGTTTGATGACTGGCGTGGGAGAAATTCTACGAGGATCGTGTGATTTGAGTTTAGAAACCCGATAGCTCCTTGGGGATCTTGTGGTCGCTGCGGGAACGTGGCATCGGGGGCTGCCCTTTGCTTGGTCTAGCTTTGCAGCGTTTTGCTTTTGCAAGCCGTTTTCCAAGGGGGTTGGAAGAATTGTGTCTTGGTGTTCTTGATGGCGCGGCAAGAGAAGCCAAGCGGAAGGCCGAGGCTGGGCTGGGCTGTGCCAGGTGGGACTGCAGACCGATTCAAAAGCATCACCATCTGGGCGGTACCGCAAAGCGAGGCTCGCCGAGATATAAGGACTACAGTCCCTTAGAGATAGGGGCGTCTAGTGGCATCACGTTTCTCCGGATCTTACTCCGCTGATTGCAAGAAGGGACGAAGAGTACAGAATCACGACTAGGCAGAACAACATGGCAGCACGCGCTACGGAGAAGTAAGTGTGCCCAGGTAACGTCTTCTTGATGAAAGCCTTTAAAGCCATCTATGTATTGTGAAGAGTCCTGGTTTTCTTCCCTTGAAAACGAAAACGAAAACAAACGTGGGGTATGGTAGGTCCTGGTACCCTTTCCCTTGCCCTCCCTGCCCAAACGCGATATGCTGTCCGAGTCGTAAGAGACGTGAGGTGTCGAGGGTCATGTGAAACCGAGAGCCCATAGCATAACTTTTCCTCCTCGGGCTTTCCGTGTCGAAGTGATGAAGTCGAAAGAGTGGGGAAACCAGACGCGAGTTGTCGACAGGTGTATGTGAAGTCGTACTAGCGGTGCCGTGTTTAGGGGTATAATGAGGGTATGATCGTTCCTATCAGTCGTTTGCCAGACGTCCGTTATGATGTGACCGATTCCCATTCCCAAAGTTCCACTCAAGCCTCCTTCCTGTAACGAAATCCCATGAACCATCTGAAAAAGCTGAGTAAGTGGAAAAAGTCCTAAATGCAAACAAAAGGAAGACCGACGTGAAAGGTCGAATGGTGAGTGACGTCCTGATAGCGGTGCCGTATGTAGAGGTATGGCGATGGTGTGATCTTTCCCATCAGTCGTTTGCCAGACGTCTGTTGTGATATGACCAGTTCCCGAACTCCAAAGTTCCAGTTAAGCCTCCCCGAACCGAGTATCCCATGAATCAAAAGAAAAAGCCGAAAAGTCCTGAATGCAAACGAAGAGAAGATGGACGTGAAAGGTTGACGGGTGTAGGGGAACCGGATACGTGCTGCCGTAGGTAACGGAGCATGGTCTCGCTCCACCAGTCGTCATAGTGCCGTCCATTGTGATGTGATCAATCCCAACAAATCAACCAGCCTCCGGAAAACCACTGTCGTAACCATCCGAAGAGTCCCATCGCAGACCACAGGAAGAGCGAAATTGGCAAAACCTTGTCCTTGAAAGCGACCACAGTCAGAATCATCAATGGCTTCGCGTCGTGGTATCAGTCGGATGAGTTATGTCCCAAACCACCGAGAAACCAGCAATCCCCCCTCTGGGAAAGAAAGCTATGGTTCGCGATTCGTGACTGGATCTACCGGGGTGGCTCATAGACGCCAATGTCGGCAGGGAAGCCTGTGAACACGCTGTACGTGTTGTGGTGAGCCAAGGCGATCCGAAGATGCTCTTGGTAGGTAATCGGTCCGAAAACGGGACGAGAGCCGGGTGAGGGCGAGCGGCGCGGGTATGGGATGAGGGGTCCTGCTCCGGAGTTGCGGGCGCGGTCGATCTCCTCTTCGGTGAGGGGGGCAGGGGAGGGCAGACGGGTGCCGTAGGGCAGCTGGCGGAGGCGGCCGGCGGGGTCCTGGTTATATATGTGTTAGTATACCCTTTGCCAAAGAGAGGCTGGCGAGAAGGGGGGTACAAATACTCACGATCCAAGAGGGATCGGTGCCGATTCCACGGCGCGACCGAGTCGCCTGGGCGCTCATCTCTGCCGCGGAGAATCCTCCGGGGTGGGAGACAGTCCAGCGGCGAGGGCCTTCCTAGGGCTCTCGGCCAGCCAGACTGTCTCCCCAAGGCTCGTCGTCGGAGCCCTGGCCCCCACCTGAGGCGCGACGGGCCGCTTCTGCGCGCTTGAAAGCCGCGCTGCGGTCCGTCGCGGCCCCAGGTATGTCGATGGGGGCCGTCTTGGTGGTGGTGGTGGTGGGATTCTTGGAGGAGGAGGCCATCTTTATAGTTATAGTTGTCTAGAGTAGAGTAAAATAAGTGGTTAGTATTTCCCTTCTTCGGTTCGTTCGCTCGTATTCGTGGACGAATGTGATATAAGTGTGAAGAACTTACTGGTAGTAGAAGAAGTAATGGTGGAGGTGAGGAAAGAAAGAAAAGAGAGAGAAAAAGAAGAAGAAGAAGAGAAAGAGAAATGAAGGATCTCACCAAGGGAGGTAGAAAGGATATTCCAGACGTGGGGCCCTTGCGATAGCCTCATTAGGGCCTTGAACAAGAGCAGATCGCCTTTGCCCTACTGCGGCTTGACATAGGGCAGAGTGAAGATGCGGCTGAGGTGGGTGTGTGGTCTTGGGTGGCATCACATCGCCGTGGCGATGTGAAGACTGTCATACTGTCAGAGGCGGGAGCAAGGCACTCGGGCTAACGAATAGTAGAAGAGCTTTGAACTGTGTTGAAAGACAAGACGGGAAAAGACGACTTTGGAAAGGTGAGAGAGGCGGTGTTGGGGATAGCTTCAATTGCAGAGTTTCTGCCTCTGGCCCTAATCATGCTAGTGGTATCTTCAAAATACAGAGTCATATCCATACCAGACTTCAGAGTATGTTCTTGGTCTGCTCCTCCTTCAAGCGCTTATGCTCCTGGAACTTCCGCTCATGCGCAGCCACAGCAGCCTTCCCAATCTCCTCGTGATGCTTGAGGATGAACTTCTCGGGCTGGTCCTTAATCATCTGACCCATGCCATCCCTGAATTCCTCGTTCTCCTCTGGCTTGACACCATATGATAGGTCACCGTCAATGATGATCTTCTTAAACGCCTTGTTCAGCAAGCCGCGGTACTGGCCGTCCTTAGCATCAGTCCCGGGGACCAATCTTTGGCAGACTTCCTTGATCTTTGCCCGAACCCTGTCCTCCCCGAGGCTTATGATGAGCTGCATGCATTGGCGTGACATCATGGGCTGAAAGTTGCCCCAAATCGCAAAAGCTTGTTGGTGAACGTCCCAGTAGTATAGATCGGGTCGTCCCGCGTAACGTCCCTCTTCTCGGCAGCGTGGGAGGAACTCGTCAAAATATTGGCGGAAGGCGGGCCGTTTTATCAAGCGCTGCCTGTTCTTACTCTTGAGCTTCTTCGTCGCGGGCTCTCCCGCGGTGCCAGTGTCTGTCTTGTTGTTATCCTTGCCGTCTGACTCCTTGGCCTCCATGATCATTTCCGGGTTCGTTGGGTCGGGGTTGTTGTGCCGGCCGTAATTGGTCTCGATGCAAAAGAACCGACAGGATGCAATGTACTCGTACATCTCGTCTCGAGTCGCGAAGGGCTCCGAGAACCTTTCCACATTGAGGCCCAAAAATACGAGTACCTCGGCAGGGTCCCTCGAGACATGCACCTTGGGCCACTTCTTGCTGTATCTCTCGTATCTTTCAATATCGTTGTTTCGTAGTGACATGGAGTAGTCGTCCACAGTCAACCCGCGTGGTTGAAGAATGGTCTGCATGATGATCCAAAGATCGCCGTGGGCGTGCTTGAATAGAATCCATTGTAGTTGCTGAAGTGAACTGCAGATGGTTATGTCGACTTGGATAAACCGCTTCGGTTCATCTGCATCCATCTCCTTATCTGTCACCGGCCATGGGACGGCATAGTTGTCGCCCCCGGAATTGTAGATGGAGCGCTTGGCACCGAGGGCGGCAAAGATGGCCTTGCGTGCCTCGTCTTTAGACATGATTGAATGGCCCGGTGTTCTTTCCTGTCCCTCGCCATAGTCGTTGGCCATCTCGAACCACGCTTCGTCATCTTCCCGTTCTTCTTGTCGTCTAGGAGTTGGCTTTGGTGCTGTCTTCTCACCGCAATTCCCAACGAAAGATGCTCTCTCCCAGGCGACTAGGATGTCGATGTCTCCATAGTCTTGCTTCTCGGGTCCTTCGATAGGGCTAGCTACACAGAGGTACAGCTCCCGCAATGCATCGAAACACCCGGTCTTGGCTCGTTTGTACACTGTGGCGGGCATTCGTGGGGTGTCTAGAGGATCATCCCCAGATGCGAAGGCAGAGCCTCCCATTGCGACAATGGCGGGCCAGATGGCCAGAGAAAGTTTGATCTAGTCTGCACTACTTAGCCTCCATTCATAGCGAAAGGTGCGATACTCATACCTTGGCTAGCGTCGCTGTTTGTAGGTGAACTTTGGGCAATGAGCGCGAGAAGTAGTATCAGAAAACAACCACAATAGGATGGCTAAGGTGTTGGAATCCTTGAACGATACTCCATAAGAAGCTCGAACAGAGTTGCGTTGATATAACTTGGGGATGCCAATGCTTTAGACAGCGAGCAACTCGGGCGACTGGAAATGACGGTGCTTGGACTTGGATGACTCAATCGGAGGCGGCTGACTCAACAGCTACCTTAGTCCACAGAGGTACCTGGCTTCCAAAGGGTCAACGCGGAAGTAGTCCCAAGAAGGAGAGGTAGTCTGCTACTGGGTGGTTGCGGCTTCATAAGTTGAGTGACATACAGAGATAGCCCGCTTCGAGATTGTTCTTCCATTTCATCGAGGCAAGCACTGGGAAGGATGTGGAGGGGTCGTGCTCCCCTCACTGTGTGAAGTGACGATGGTCGAGATGTACACACAGTGACATCGGCTCCCTTCGGGTACGTACCCCGAGCAACGTTCTATCCTCCCTGCTCTCGTAGAATAAGTCAAAGGAATGAAAGAAGCATGGAGGAAGGCCTCTAGGAGCGCAATAAAGAACTAGCGCTGTCTGCCGAGTTCCATAACCGCTTCGGAGGTTGGTTCCTTGTATCTCATTCAAATTTCTGGGGGCCGGACAGTGCACTTTCGGACCCTCAACAAGCAAAGCAGTCGTCTTTTAGTCTACTCAACTGACAATGATCTGACCTAATGAATCGGCAGAGCTACACATATTGGGTCATTTGATTCCTGGCAGAATCCCGATGCAGTCTGCCAGTGTTACGTCTCCTAAGTTGAATATTGAGCGATTTTCTACATCTCCAGCTCGTAAGACCCTGAGTGTTTTACAGGAAGCAGCAACCCAGGCAGCAGGGAGCAAGCGGCTTATTGAAGCTATGCTCTTTCTCTCAGAAGTGTTGCAGTGTTTTCTTTTGTCTCAAGGATCCTCAGTGATTCAATAGTGTCCAGTCCGTTGCATTCTTCTTTTCATTCAGGACTACACAAAGGCGGTTCCTGAGAGTGTCCGGAGCCTACCGGAGATCACTTCGGCGACAAGTGGGGCCAACCCGGAAGGCTACGGCACCCTATCCGACCACTTTCCATGGGTAATTGTGACTTCACACCTCCCACGCCTTGTGCCTTGAATAGGGAAAAGATCAAAAAAATTCACTTATCCACGCCCTCAACGCTCTTTTTGGACCTCTTTCCCTTTGTAGGGCTTCTGACCTTGCCTACGTCGCTTGTTGTCTTTCAACACAGCATTGTAAGGCAGGTACTCACTCTTGTTTCGTCAACATCCACCTTCTTCTCTTTTCATCTCCCACAAACAACACCCTAGGGTAGAGGGAAATCCCACGAAACAACCCGTTTCAACACAATATTCCCTCTGCTTCCTCTTCTCAGCATCATCTACTGTGGAGTCGGATCTCTACTGCCGATCCGCGCCGTGGTTGCCATCTCTCTACATACCCGAATTAGCTAGTTCACACCAAACTACAGTTCAGACGCTCGAACTATCGCTCGCAATGGAGAAGGTCATCGACTACCGCATTACCTCGCGCGCGATGGTCGAGGATCACAACAAGAAAGCTGTTGCGGCTGGCGACAGCAAAAAGATCCTTGACATGTAAGTTGACCCAATCCTATGCCTGCGCGCTTTCTGACATACCTGTGATAGCTCCGAAGATGAGTTCGTCCACGTCTACTGTGGAGACATCATCTTCGTTGTCTTCCGCGAGGTCATCACCGCTGGATCCTTGTACTTCGATGCTTGTCTCCTCGGCTTCTTCAAGGAGTCCTACAACCAGGAGATCTTCTTCGATGACATTGATTCCAAGGCTCTCAAACTCTACCTTCAACTCACTCACGGCTGGTACTTTGAGATAAAGTCTTTCGGTAG